CTGTCTCCTCAGTTTACCTTGCATTTCCCCTATGACCTATGACGTGGGGCAATCTTCATTATGTATAAAGTCCTGAACTGTGTCTTTGTAGAGAGAGGACATTAAGAGCCTAAGACCTGGGACCCGCTTGGAGGGGATGCAAGGGGCCTGGAGCAGAGGCCCTCGGGGGAGGGTCCCCGGGGGCAGAATGTGAGCGCGAGGACCTCACGTGGCTTCACACCGATGTCACTGGCATTAGGGTTTTGCCTTGGATCTGCTTCCACCCATTTTCCGGGAGGACTAATTAGTGTGTTTGTTTTCAGCACTAACCATCTCCTGTTGCTGCTAAATTCCCCTCTAAGGCCTTCCTTCTCCCACTCGGGCAAAACATAAACAGGGAAGGGGGGTATAAAGGAAGGAAGGGAAACGAGAGGCCTGGTTCAGAGAGCTGACTGATGGGATCTGCATTTTACTCAAAACTCAACAGAGTTTTTGTGGGCTTCTCTCTCATTCTAGCAACTGTGAATTCATTCAGTGACCCTATGTTCCTCTGCTGCACCTTCCTAAATCCCCACCCGCACCTCACCCGAGTTCCCAACGTGGGCCCTTCTTATTCTTCGGGAACAGATGATCTGTGTGTAGTGTGGCTTGCTATTCTAGAACGTTTGACCACTGAAATCCTCCCCTCGTCTGCCCGAGCTGGACAACGCTTTCCGCAGCCCTTGTCCATCACGAGGGGACTTTATGCATTCACCGTTTACTCAGTGTGTGAACATTTAACAAAGAGTGTGACCTTGCCATCCAGGGATAGGAAAGTGAACAAGGTAAGGTGGAAGGGAGATTAAATCTAGGGGAAGAGAGCTACAACGCATGGGTGATTCTAACACAGGGGGTTTCTAGTGAATTCTCAGGACCATTGGAGGAAGCGCGATAGTGGGAAAATCCTGACTTACCTGGAAATCAGATATTCTGTTATTCCTGGCGTGTCATTGAGAAACTGGGCAAGACGACACCAGTTTGCCAGTCCAGTCACGGGGCGCATCTTAGGACAGACCAGTCCTCAGAGTCTCTGATGGAGAAGGCCTTTCTTTAATCGCACATGTTTTCTATGAATTGCATCATTCACTAGTGTGGACAAGGGAAGGATGTGGTGAGCTCTGTGCCCAGAATGCAGTTTTCACAACCGTGCTTTCGTAAAGGGTTAACACCTGCCTCTGCCAGATGGCCTGAGATCAGAGCCATGTGCATGAACAATGACAGAAAAAGCCCTTCTTGAGAGCAGGGAGGTTTTAGTGGGTGTGATTGAACTTAATAGCCAGGCAGCTGGAATGTAAGGGGATACCACGAGCAGCCCTTGGTATAAGTCGTTGCCTACGAGGTGAGTTTAGAAAGAGCTGGTTCCTGGATTCAAGGGCCAGATGCTCAGCGTAGTGATATTACCAGGATTTTATTTTTACTTTTTTACTGGGAATTTAAAAAAATCAAGTTCCTTTAGGAATCACCAGTGTCTCCAACTATTTGGCAAAGGAGTTTTACCTTCTTAAAATCAAATATATCACTAGGGACAGATTGGCACTGTTTTCTCTGACTGTATTTTCTCTTGTCTGCCGCTGTGTTCAGGAAAGCTGACTCGGCTGTGTCTGGGTAGGCTGATGGGACACCTCGCCACAGAATGGATGGGACTTACAGGCTCACGTGGGTGACATGCACGGGCCAAGGCTTCACTGCAGCCTGCTCGCCAACCCATCGCTGCCCATGTGATGTTAAAGTTGCTTCCGTGCTTGCAATGACCATAGCCAGCGTGACTGCCGTCTTCTGTTCCATTTCCTGTGCTATCGTCCAGGTTTCCGTGTTTCCTTCTCCCCGGTGTCTACATCTAACGACTTACGGACCGTTCTAGATCTTCATGTGATGCTCTGAGATCCAGGGATAAAGAAGACTCGGGAGAAGCAAGAGAAGCAAGAGTGAAGGAGGTCTCCCACACAAGAGCTAAGCAGGTGAGGGAAAGACAACGCAGACCCTTGCTGACCATCAGTCAATAGGCAAGTCCACAGATGAAGAGAGTGGTTGCATGTGGGAGGGAAGACCGTGGGCGACTTTGAAGTTTCCTTCTTAGACCTGTGTTTTCCAAATTTCAAAAATCAGTATGTGTTAATTATATACTGAAAAGTACCATTTAAAAAAAGGAAGCAAGGCTGTAACACGGGAGACCGGGTTATGTGAACCAACCTTCCCATTCAAAGCGACTAAAAATGCTGATCAGTTGTAATGAGTTTCTTAAAGACACTTCAGAGCTAACAAGTAGAGCGCCACCAAATTGGAAACCAACAGAAAGAACAACAAAAAAACTGGGTAGAAACTAGGTTCTGTGAATGGCTTTTGCTTCCAGGCATGAGCAAGGGTTGCCATGTTTGACTTTGGTTTTGACAGCCTCAAAGGGTAAGAAAAAATGTCATCAAGTCCAAGGCTGCCCAGGTGGGATCTAGAAGGGTAAGAGGATCTCCGATGAAGCTCAGGCCCTAAGGGCTGCGTCTGAAGGCGAGAGTAGAGCAGAAGCAACACCGCCCTCTGGTACTTGGGGCCACAAGGACATCACCTCGGTGCTGAGCAGGGTGAGAATGAAAGATCCTGGGGTACTGGAACCACATCCCAGCCCTTCCTTGGACTTTCAGCCTAAATTCTCACTGCCTGGCCTGTCAGAAAGACATTGGATGGAGCTGGGCAAAGAGCCCACGGACTAGTACGTAAACCAGAAAGAATTATCCAGAATGCAGCACAGACACAAACAAATGGAAAATGGGGAAAATTAGTGAAGAGACCTGGAACAGAGACTGAGAAGGGATGTCATGTAGTTAATTAGAGCTCCAGGAGAAGAGCAGTGAAAGAACTGCATTCTCTGAAAATGACAGCGCCATCCCTAGCTTCGTGAAGCCTACTGAACCCCAAACACGATAAATAAAAAGAAATTAACATCCAAATGTACCTTAATGAAACTACAGGCAATAAGATTGAAGATAAAATCGTATAAGCAGTAAGAGGAAAAACAAAAACTTTTCAGAAAGATCTTCGGAAAATCTCCAAATATCTGGAAACGAAAAAGCACATTTCTAAGTAACCCGGGGATATGAGAAGAATTCAAACGGGAAATTAGGAAGTATCTTGAACAGAATGAAAAATCAAAACAGAGCATATTAAAATTTGTAAGATGCACCTGAAGCAGCATTTAGAGGGAGAGCGAGAGCACTAAACTCTCAGAGACCTCAGGTAAGTGAAATAAATTTTAAAAAATAACAAAAAGGTCCCCAAACATTTGGAAATTAAACACCACATTTTAACTCCAAAGAGGAGAGAATTTTGCATTCAAAGCAAAATTTCCAATGTGGCAACGACACTGGGTTTTTCCCCTTGGATGTCCGGATCGCCAGGTGAATGTGTGAAACAATGGTTCGATTTCCCTTACTCCCTTCCTTCCTCTCCTTCCCCGGTCCCTCCTCATTCCTTGCTTTGTTTCAAAAAGCATCTGAGGCGCGACATCACATGTATCATCCGTTTTTCTGTCTTGTTAGAAGGAAGCTGCTGGAAGCCAGTGGCAGGTCTTGTGTTCTGATACAGTGTTCGTGGGGAAGTTGACATTGTTACCTTACCTGTCGTGCTCTCGGCCTCTCAAATTCATGACTTCACAGCACAGGAATCTCCTAAGTTTGTATTTTGCTAAACTTTTCTAAGCTTTTTTGTTATTTTGCTTGATTCTCCCAAGAATGCTGTGCAGGAGGAAGGCTGGTAAACACTCATTTTACCGGATGGGAAACAGGCAAATAACCGCATCATCCATTCCACACGTGGGACAATCTCCCAGGCGCACGGATTATCCGCGGCCAGCGCCCGGATTATCCGCGGCCCGCGCCCGGGTTCGGCATTTCTTCTCTCCTGGGTCGCGGCTCCAAGGCCGCAGAGGGCGCCTGACCGCAGGAAAAGCTACACTGTAACAGTTCACGATCTCTTCGTTGTTACGATAACCCACCAAAGTTTCAAAAAACGCGATTTCACTGAAAGAGGACCACGTCGTTAATCTTACTATTTCGGGATTCTGGTCTCCTTTCAAGTCTCCGGCTTCTCTCCGGGTAACGAGAGTTTCAACCTCCCGTAAACCACCGAACCCCCCGGGAGCTTCAACTCGCTTCGCGATGCTTTCGGGTGACAAAGCATTAACCCCGCATCTACCGGACGCTCCTGAGTTCCAAGAGCGACCGCGCTCCCCTCCTCAGCCCCCTGGAGCCCCGCGGGAACGAATGTCCCACAAACGCTCCGCGACGCAAGGGCCACTCGGCCGCGAGCGTGTCGCCTCCAGGGTGCTCAATCTCAGGAGAGCAGGAGAGGGTCGGGCGCGCTCCTTCCTGAGTCTCACTGACGCGTCGGACAGACGGATCACAAGCCGGCAGGGGGGGACGCAGCTCCCCGCCCCAGCAGAGAGCCCGACGGGGACCCTAGCGAGGGCGCCCCGGGGTCGGAGCGCTCCCAGGGCCACGCCGCGCGGGCAGGAGACGGCGACCGCGACACCCCGCGGCTGCTCCCTGGCGCCCGCGCGCTCGAGGCTCCTGCAGGCGGCCGGGCCCCGCCGCGCCTCCGCTCCGGAACAGCCCGGAGAGCACGGTTGTTCCGCTGGCCGCAGCGGAGGAGCCGGCGTCCCGGACGCGCAGGCGGGGGCGCGGCGAGCTCCGCGGGAGAGGGGCGGGCGCCGTCCGGGGGGCCGCAGGAGGCCGGGACGGCCGTCCGCCTCGGGGCCCGAGGGGGTGAGCCCGGAGCGCGGGGGACTTCGCGGCGGCCCGCGCCCTCCCCCGCGGGCCCCCAGCGGCCGGCCCTTCCGGTGACCGCGCCTCCAGCCTCCGCGCCGCGCTTCGACGTTTCCCTTCCGGGATCTCCACCGCCCGCGGGCACGTGAGTGCTCGCCCGCCGACCGGAAGCGCGCGCGCGGGGGGCGGAAGTGACGCGTCTCCGCGCGCCGGCCCGGCGAGAGCGTATTTCCGGCGCGCCGCGCTGCGCCGCCCGCCGCTCGGGGAGTCCCGGTAGCACCGCGAACCGGCGCGATGGGCAAGAAGGGCAAGAAGGAGAAGAAGGGCCGCGGGGCCGAGAAGACCGCCGCCAAAATGGAGAAGAAGGTGTCGAAGCGCTCGCGGAAGGAGGAGGTGAGCGGAGGTGAGCGGGGCCGGCTGCCAGGCTCCGCGCGCCAGCCGCCCGCCGCCGGGGTCCGGGTCCAGTCGGGCTCCGTCGGCCGGGAGGCGCCGCGCGGTCTGCGGCGAGGGTCGCAGCCTCCGGGCCTCCGTCCCCATCCCTCGAGAGGGGGTGGGCGAGCCGCACTGCAGCCGGAGCCGCGGGCTTCCGAGGGCGCCTGCCGCCGGGTGCCGCGACAGCCGCAGCGTCTCTCCCGCGCCGTCTCCTTTCCGTCTCTCCCGGTCTCGGCGTCCTGCCCCGGCCGGGTCTGTGGAGGGGCCGGGCTGAGCTCAGCGTCCCGCTCTCTGTGGCGGTGCTTTCCGACGGCCCGGGCTTCGGTCCGCACCGCGAGCAGGCGCGGCAGCTGGGGCGCGCGGGCTGACGGCGGGACTCAGCGGCGAGTCAGCGGGGACGCGGCGCCCAGCGGCCGTGCGACCAGGTGTCCCCGGGTCCCAGTACCGACTCCGCGCTGCCCCTTCTTCAGAACCGCTCCTGTCTGCGTCCCCTCGTCTGTGGAATAACGGGGTCGGCTTTTCCTTCGGCCTCCGCCGCGCTCGGCGGACGGTTCCTCGCCGGTCGCCTGCACGGGCCCTGCAGCCCCAGGCATGGGTTTGCACCTCCTCTCAGCCGCAGCTGGCTGGAAGGCCTCGGAGGAGCATGACTGTCGGTGCAACCTCCGCATCTCAGTGTCCCACAGGGCACTGCACGGGCCTGCGTGGGGTCGTGGCATGGAAGATAGGTTGTGGGGCACCCTTAGAGATTATTTATTTATTTATTTATTTGACAGACAGAGATCACAGGCAGGCAGAGGCAGGCAGAGAGGAAGGGAAGCAGGCTCCCTGCTGAGCAGAGAGCCCGATTCGGGGCTCGAACCCGGGATCCTGGGACCATGACCTGAGCCGAAGGCAGAGGTTTTGACCCACTGAGCCACCCAGGCGCCCCATGTGGGGCACCTTTATAACACGGCTTGGCACTCAGCAAGTGCTGTGACTGGTGGCTGCTTTTCGCTCCTGTTCCCGTCTCTGGGCGGAGCCCCGTACTTGGGGGATGACAGTGGCTCCCCTGTGGACAGAGAGAGCCTGTCAGGTCTGGGGCCTGGGACTTTGCATGGTGCCTTCATCCGTCCTCAGAACAGATCTTGAAAATCGCTGGTCATCTGGTGAGGTCAGGCCCACGGAGGATCTTCTCCCTTTCCCAAAGTCAGTTGTGTCACATGCGTAATCTCATCACGGGTGTGCGTCCCATCATTTCCTGGCTGGGGCCTGAGGGGAGCATCCTGGGGACAGCTGGGAGTTCTGCCTCCCGCAGAACTCATGTGAACCTGGTGACAGCTTCACGTGGGTGTCACACACATTCCTCCCGCTCCTACGCTGCGCGTGTTGAAGGTGATCTGTGAAGGACACCGGGCCAGGCGCTCTGGAGCAACGTGAGTCCCGACGGGAGGTCCCTTCCGCCAGCTCTCCGCAACGGCCCCGCGGGTCAGCAGTTTGCCCTGCCGGCCCGCGGCACCGGTTTTGCATGGGGGATGTGGCGGTCAGTAGGAGGCCTTCAGGCGTCTGCTCACATAGACGTGGCGGGATAGTGGGTGCTTCTGAAGACCACCGTGAGGGCGAAAATTGGCAGAGCCCCTTTGGACCCTAGTTTGTCCCTATCGAGAAAAGTGAGCTGCCACGAAGCAGTTACGCCCTTGAAGGCTTACCTGGGAGAAACCTCCAGCTACGCAAAGACATTTCACAAAAATGACCACGGTAGTGTTTGTGAAAACAAACCATTGGATTTGCCCCAGATGTGCAGCAGCAACAGGATGAGTGGAGAAGCCGGGCTGGAGCGGTACCTCTGCCACCGTGAACGGGAACGCGGTTGGGGCGTCCGACTTCATTCCGCAGCACCGAGCCACGTAGCAGGTTGCAGGCGATTTCACTCTGATGCTGGTGACGTGAAGTTGAAACGTGTGAAACGATAATTCACACATGTCACTTTGGGGTGCGTTTACGTGCCGTAAGAGTATAAGGAAATGCGTGAGAGTAAGGCGCCCTCTGTCCCAGAAAGCGGGTGCTTCCTCGGGGCTCAGGGGTACACACGGGGGGCGGAGGGCTGCAGCGGGTGTTCAGGCTGAGGAACGTGGCATTTTGATGAAAGGAACCGAGGCAGCCTGTGCACTTGGAGCCAGGAGGTGGGGTGGGAGATGAAGTGGGCAGGATGGTTTTTAGGTTCAGGAAGGACATTGTGGAAGCTGGAACTGGGGCATGAGGGCTGGGGGTTGGAGGGAGAGAGAAGCAGGGAAGGAGGAGGCGGGGACATGTAGATGCCTGCATGAGCGAGGGGAGGAGAGAGCGTTGAAGAAGAGCGTGAGGACGGAAGGGAGCTTCCCCATGACGCACGGGTCACACATCGCCCGCGTGTGTGACCACCGGCAGATGCAGGGTAGGACTCGACTGGGAGTAGGAAGGCCAGGTTCCGGTGCCGTCCTGCTGGGCAGGTAGATTGGCGTCTTCCCTTCTAAGTCTGCTCCGGCAGCTGGAGGAACGGAGCCCTTTGTACCCAGCTCAGCTGCGGCTGCCACGCTCGCCACGCAGGCGCGGTTCTCGGTAGACAGTCTTGCTTGCAGCTCGCCTTTTATCACTTTGGTGGGAGGGAGGTGGGGGCAGAGTGGGAGAGTGAGCAGGGGACTCTCAGACGCTGCTCTGCAGCCAGCAGCGCGTGCGGCGGGGTGGCCAGGCGTGGCCGTGTGAGAAGCGGTTGAAGGTGCTGGCAGAAGTCGGGGAGGGCTTGTCTGAATGGGAGGCCCTTGGCGGGGACTCTGAGGGTTTGGAATGAGGTGGTACATGCAGTGTGTGTGCCTCTCTGTGTGCTCCCAAGACGGTTGCCCATAGGGTCAAGCTCTGAGTGTTTTTGCAGGTGTCAGAGTCTGTGTCCCTGATATGGGGGCGCGTGTTCTCATCCCTGGATGTCACTGGACCCTGGGCGGGTCAGACAGGGCGGGCAGGTTGGCGCAAGTTTAAAACCATGTCTCAAGTGTGACTCTTTGTCTGTCTACAGGAAGACCTCGAAGCTCTGATCGCCCATTTCCAGACACTGGATGCCGCAAAGACTCAGATCGTGGAGACCCCGTGCCCCCCGCCTTCACCAAGGTACGTCGGCAGAACTCTTCAAGCAGCTGACAGGTTTCTTGCCTATATTGGAAAATCACTTTAAATTGGCACCGTGTTTTCTTTATTTTTTTAAAGATCTTATCTATTTATTTGACAGAGAGACACACAGAAAGAGAGGGAACACAAGCAGGGGGAGTGGGAGAGGCAGAACCACTCAGCGGGCAGCCTGACAACACGGGGCTCAATCCCAGGACCCTGGGATCGTGACCTGAGCTGAAGGCAGCCGCTTAATGACTGAGCCCCTCCAGGCACCCTGGGACCGTGTTTCCCATAAATAACCAGGCACGTGGAATGTTTTCCTCATTAAAACCTGCTCCCATTCCAGACAAGTTCCCATAACACGGTTTTTCACTTTCCTCCTGAAGAATGGGAGTGAGGCTTTTTAGCTCTTTTGTCACGGGAAACACAGAAACGGGGTCCCCCTCGGCTGCTCTGCAGGGAGCACCACTCGAGAGCTGTCCAGCTGGTCACAGTCACGCACGGGAGCGTTGCCCCAGCGAGCTCTTAGGTTCTTGAAACGTTGCAGAAGTGTCACAGGCATAGTCTCTTGTTGCTGTTTGTTCGTAACGACAGGTGTGATTTTCAAACAAAAGCGTGTACAAGCCATTTCAAATGAATATTTTTTAAAGATTTTATTTATTTATTTGACAGAGATCACAAGTAGGCAGAGAGGCAGGCAGAGAGAGGGGGGAAGCAGGCTCCCTACTGAGTAGAGAGCCCGATGCGGGGCTCGATCCCAGGACCCTGAGATGACCTGAGCCGAAGGCAGAGGCTCGACCCATGGAGCCACCCAGGCGCCCCTCAAATGAATTTATAAATTATGTGGAGAACTCGAGAGTCTTCTGCAGGATTTCACATACTTGGAATGAGCCAGAATGAGCTTTGGTTTTCCTCTTTCTTACTCTTTGGTGTCAGTTCTTGTCCTGCTGGCTTCTGAGCTGCAGCTCTGTTACAGGTGGACTCGGGGCCTGTAATTCTTGTATTTGCTGCTGACGCGCTAGCAGGGAAGACCCAGAACGCATTGAGGCAGGAATCGGGAAAGGCCAAACAACCCTAGAAGAGTGCCACGTTCTTCAGAGAAGGGGAAAACATTAACTTCACAAGCACACGAGACTGTTTGGTTTGGTTGAAAAATGATTGGCTTCCTTTCTCTCAGAATAAAAATTAATCTCATTCATATTGTCAGAAATGAGATTAATCTTGGGGCGCCTGGGTGGCTCGGTCGGTTAAGCGACTGCCTTCGGCTCAGGTCGTGATCCTGGAGGATCGAGCCCCGCATCGGGCGCCCAGCTCCGTGGGGAGTCTGCTTCTCCCTCTGACCTTCTGCTCTCTCGTGCTCTCTCTCTCACCCACTCTCTCTCTGAAGTAAATAAATACGATCTTCAAAAAGAAAAAAGAAATGAGATGAATCTTACTGGAGCTGCCACCAGCCTGAGTGGATGCCCGGGGTCCAGCACATCAGGAGGGGCCGCCGGCCGTGCCTCTGGGGTTAGTCTCCCCCGTCCAGAGATGGGGGGGCGACGTGCTGTCCAGCAGCGCCCCGAGTTGTGTGATGTCCCTGTCTTCATCTAAGAGCAGCATCAGGGAGCGGGGTGCACTCTTCCGGTGTCTGGCTTCTTACCCCAGGGCCACACAGCACTTACCACATGGTCGACGCACGCCGTCCTCGGAGTGGCGAAGGCAAGTGAGTCCGAGAAATGGTGGAGGCTTCATGCCTACGGCACCCCCGAGGGAAGCCATTCTGAGTGTGAATCGGCCCCTGACCCCCCGCCTTTTGCTGACCATTAAAAACTATTCCTGAGGTAATGTGCCTAAAAAGCCAGGTTTAGTGTTAGGATATAATTAGGAGCCTTGGTGCTTCCCCGTCAGCCGGGAATTGTTTGTGATGGAGCTGGGATAAAGTGAGACTTTTCGGTCAGTCAGCGTAGTAACGTCCCTCCTCCTCCTCCTCCGTCACGTTCTAGGAAAAACCGTGAACTTACTGGGTTTTGTGAGTGCACGTGTCCCTGCGTATTGGCGGAAATGGAGTTGAGTGGGGAAGCAAGGGCCGTAGACCAGGTGCAGCAGAGGGGCAGGTGCAGGGCTGAGGGGGTGGGCGTGGCCTGCTGTGGGGGGCAGGGACCCTGTGGGCACCCTGTGGCCGCTTGTGGCCCTCACTTGGGTTATGGTTTCCCAGCTGTGCTTGTTAATTTTACATAGAAAATTTTAATACGTGTTACGGGAACAAAGATTTGGGGTTAAATACCTTTGGGAAACAGATGGTTTTCTTTTGAAATTAAAAAAAAATTGTGGTAAAATATATCTAACATAGAATTTTCCATCTCATCCGTTTTTAACTGTGCAGTCACTGGGATTCCTTATAGTCACGATGCTCTGGACCCAGGGATGTCTCTCCCCACGCCCCTCCTCTTGGCCCCCGGGAGCCTTGACGTCCCAGTTTCTGATAGAAGTGGGGTCACACAATGGCCTTCCTTTTGTGTCTGGCTTCTTTCCCTTAGCGCAGCGTCCTCAAGGTTCATGCTGTCGTAGCGTGAATCTGAACTCTGTTCCTTTTTAAGACTGAGTAGTGTTCCGCTGTACGGACGTACCACGTCCGTGTGTTGACGGACGGACGGGCATGCTGTACTGAACGTCGGCGTGCGGGCTTCTGCTCCGGTCTGCGTTCTCAGGGTTCTCTGCGTGTACCCAGGAGTGGAATTGCTGGGTCATGTGCTAATTCTGGTTTTTAACTGCCAGACTGCTTTCCACAGCATAGTCCCCTGCCCTTTTTTAAAGATTTATCGGGGCGCCTGGATGGCTCAGTCATGAGGCGTCGGCCTTCAGCCCAGGTCATGATCCCAGAGTGCTGGGATCGAGCCCCACATGGGACTCCCTGCTTCTCCCTCTCCAGCCCCCCGTGCTTGTGTTCCCTCTCTGTGGTCTCTCTCTGTCATAAGTGAATAAAATCTTAAAAAAAAAAAAAAGATTTATTTATTTTAGGGAGAGAGAGCATGAGCAGGGGGAGGGGCGGGGGGAGAGAGAGAATCTCAAGCAGACTTCACACGGAGCACAGGGCTCGATCTCACAACCCTGAGATCGTGACCCGAGCTGAAGGCAGATGCTTAACAACTGAGCCACCCAGGTGCCCTGTCGAACAGTTTTGACTGTGACTTAAGGGGACGGGCCCGTGAAACGGGTCAGCTGTGGGAAACGTGGCACGTACGTTAAGGGCACCTGGACTCCTCACTGCTTGATGGTTTTTACCCGGAAGCTGTGTGAGTCACCCAGCTCAGGGGGGGGCCCCCTCGTACTGTGGCCGCAAGGTTGATTTTAAGGGATGGGGGCCTTAGTTTCCATTCCCGTTGCCAGGCTTGTCTTTCACAGAAGTCTGGGGAGGTGATGCGGCCTCTGGCGGGAGGGAGGCGGCTCTGGGCTGGGCACTCGGGGCCGGATTGTGTGGTGAACCGCTGCCTCTGTCTCTCGCAGGTTACACGCCTCCCTCTCCGCTCATCCCGAGAAAGACGAGTTAATCCTTTTCGGAGGTGAATATTTCAATGGCCAAAAAGTAAAGTATATATTATATATTTTTTCTTTCCTCCTCAAATTTTCACGGGTCTCATTTTGAGGAAAATTAATTTAAAGCGGTGATAGCAAATTTGCACTGGTCCCACGTCCTGAGCCTGCAGGACTGGCACGTGACCTTGTCCTTGAGAGGCCGCCGGGCTCCTCCGCAAGCTTCAGAGTCGCTGTTCTTCTGCCCCTTTGGGTTGATGATTCGTGAGCTCGTGATGGGGCTCAGAGTTGTTTGGGAAAGTGGAGGAGGGGGCGGTGGAGTGAAGAGCTCAGCTTCATTTCCGAGCGGGCCAGGCAGGCCTGGGTCAGAATCGCGTGTGAAGCCTTAGGAAAGCGCGGGTGGGCGTCCAGTGAGCCCGACGCCTCCTGCCGCGCCGCTCTGCACTCGCACGCCTTTAAGAGGCCGGGTGGACTCTGAGAGGCGACTTGCCGGGCAGCAAAGGATCTGGGTACCGTAGGCGCTACTGGGCATGACTGTCATTATCCCAGGGACCCAAGGGGCCCGGCCGCAGGCTTCCCGCACTAGTGGGATTTACGTGGCTTTAGGAAGTGCGTTTCCTGGGGAAAGCTGGTGATTGAGGTCCCGCTTTCCACTTACTGCCGCTTGCTTGGAGGCGTCACGGATGACATGGAGTCGCTCTTCCTTTGCAGACGTTTATGTATAATGACCTGTACACCTACAACATCAGGAAGGACGCCTGGACCCGAGTGGACATCCCCAACCCACCTCCAAGACGCTGTGCGCACCAGGTATGTGTCCGCGCGGACGCTCCGCCTTCTTCCTTCCCTGGGAGCCTTGTGTTCTGTGCTCGTGGGGTTGGCGGACGACACGTGGCCTGGCTCGGAAGGGCGGGGACTGACACGCGGGTGCGCTTGCTGTCCCCGCTTGGACGCGTCGAGAAGCTTCTGCTGTTTGGCGCGTTCCCTTGCGAGACGGCAAGCGCACCTTCTCCCGGCGGCCGAAGACCGCGGGAAAGAGGCCCGGTCGGTCTGCCTCGCGTGGTGCCCAGCACGCCGCAGCCACACGGAGAGCGCCCGTCCTCCGTCGCAGTGAGAGGTTCCCGCGGGCCCCAGACCTGCTGGCCAGAGAGGGGAGCTCCCCGGGAGAAGCCGAGTGTGCCGACATCGTCGCTGAGGAGCGAATGGTCACCAGGGATCCCGACGCGGCTGACGTCGGCTTGTTGTCACTGGCTTCTGCTCACCCCGGGGAGCTCTGCCAGAGCTGCTGCTGTCCGGTTCTCTAACTCCACGAGCAAGGGCCCTGGGTCTTTCCTGTTACTGTCCTAAGCCCGGACTCGGACCGGTGTCGGGGACGCAGAGAATAATTTGAACGAGGGACGTGTTTTCAGCCTGGAGAGAAGGTTGTGCGAGCCCGCCGTGGTGCGAGGGAAGCATCCCCCACAGCAGTGGGGGTCCTTTCTCGGGTTCTCTGCTCACGGGCACCCGCGGGTCTGAAACCGGTTCTGAGAGGAGGACTTGGCCACCTGAGCTTCACCCAAGACCCGCAGGCGTTTGGACGGGTCCGTCTTGTGGAAAAGACGGGTGTGCTTGCGGGTTTAGCTGTCAGGTCTTAGCAAGCTTGGGTTTTAATAAGGAATGCAGTTTTTTTTCTTTTGAAGCTTTTATTTATTTGGCAGAAAGAGAGAGCGCACAAGTGGGGGAGCGGCAGGCAGAGGGAGAAGCAGGCTCCCCGCTGAGCAGGGAGCCTAAAGTAGGACTTGATCCCAGAACCCTGGGGTCATGACCTAAGGCAAAGGCAGATGCTTAACTGACTGAGCCCCTCAGGCACCCCTAGGTCATGGATGCTGACGTTTGATCCGTTTGCCAGAGACCCTCAGTTCTTGAGAACGCGTGATCTGCCCCAGGCCTCCAGGCTGAGGACGAGTCCCGTCCTGTCCCAGCCGTGGTCTCTCCATGTCCCCAGCCCTCCCACGTACCTCCGTGGATTCCTGAACCCGCAGAGCGCTCACATTCTGATGGGGCAGTCCCACTCTGGCCCGCATCCCGTGATGTGGGCTCGGGCTTCTTTTGTGTTTGTTTTCTTAGCTGTTTTAACCACAGTTATTAATGGCATTCTTGAAGAATCAGTGTAAAAGCCTTTGCGATTTTTAAATGCAGTGACTTGGCCGGAGTGCTGGGCAGGCTCTGATTCATGTGCGTGCCTGAGGAGGACTTTGCTAGTCTGGGACTAAATAATGTCCTTGTAGTTAAGCTTGGTTTGCTGTTTTCTCCGAATTTCCCAATGAAGTAGAGCCACAGGAAACAGAAAATTGGTTGTAAAGTCTTTGGCCTGAAGGTCATTACAGTCCGAGTTCTACAACATTGAATTCCGAGACCTAGAACCTTCCTTCTTACAGACTCGTTCAGTGTGATGTCAGAGGCCACGCTCTTTGTCTTCTTTTTCACTGTGGCGGGGAGGTGGGGAGAGGAAGGCCACACGCACACTCTTCTTTCTCTTCTCCTGGGTTCTGGAGTTCTGCAGGGTGAGGTTGACTTCAGTGTGTAACTGGAGACCCTACGTGACTTTTCTGTGGGAACACAGCCCAGCGAGAGGTAGGAAAGGGCTGTGGCGCTGCTGGGTGTGTGGCCGGACGTGTGCAGGCTTCAGTGGCTCACGCCTCAGCACCCCGTTCCCTGGAGGAGGGGAGGACGCATTCACGGCTCCGCCTGGACCGTGAGGCTGTCACCACCAGCAGGAGGGGCCACTGAGAACCGCGGGGACAGGCGGCAGGGAGGTGGCGGTCGTGAGATCATGTCTTCTTGGTCCCCGGCTGGTTTCTGCCAAAGTCGTAGCTGAAACGCACACGAAACACGAGGTGTTCTCGCCTAAAGTAGCAGACAGAGACGGTTAAAACGTCAGCCTAGCGCGCTAGTGAGCGCAGGTAATTTCTGGAGAGAGGTTAATACACGGGAAGCCTTTCTCCTGAGCCGGCCGAAGTCACGTCGGCCCCCTGGAGCTGCAGAAAGGGTCGGCCTCCGTATGAGCAGTGGCCGCGTCCCCGACCGGGTGAGCGGGCATTGCGGGGGTCCCGGCTTGCTCCCGCAGGAAGAGGGGGCATCTTTCACATGCGAGGCACCCTTCTGGGGCTGGGATACGGCGACAGAAAAGAACAATCTGCCTTTCCTGATGGTGATGGCCTGTGTCTTGTGTTTCTCTGATCCCGAGGGCGTCGTGCGTTTTTCGGACTCGCGCTTTCACGAAGCTGAAGCTGCTCTAACGTCCCTTCGGAGTCTGTCCTTTGGGTTCTGACGGGCTTGTTTTTGGCATTTGGAGGAGGGAGAGTGGGGAACTTGGGGTTTTCCCGACATGACTTCCTTCCAGATAATGCAGCAGTAAGCAGGCCTCATGGGACAGGTCAGAGCGAGGTGCGGGCAAGGCCGGCCTCGCCTCGCCCCCGGAGCAGGGTGCCGTGCCGTCCGCCCGTCAGCGGGCCCGGCTTCGTCTTCGTGAGGCCCGGGCGACGGCTTCAGCAGTTCCTTCCGGGCCGCTGTGTGTATGTGTGTGCGTGCCAGCCGGCCAGGCCTGTCCTGAGGAGCTGCCCGGTGGTCCAGCCTCTGCCTCGATGTCTTCCGTGAGAGGACCCCGTATCTTAGGGTGTCACAGGAGGTCATTTCGTTAGTGCTAGACTTCTTTTCAAAACGTAAACTCTGGAAAGTCTCCTTACTGGGTCCTGAACATACTATTTTTGTGTTATGTTTTGACGTGAATGTGCGTTTTATGGCTGTCTTCTGGGAAATACATTTTTTTCTTCTGCTGCGGGACATTTTAGAGTACGGCGTGTTTATTCTGCGAACAGCTTTAACTGGCAGTGACCCTCCCGAGAATCCGTTCTTGGGGAGATGGGGCACAGATCGTGACCTGGATTAGACCCCTTTCCGAAGCAGGTTCCCTGTCACTCACTCAACAGTTATGAAATAGAAGAGATTGGAAATCTGACTTGATGAGACTGAAACTCCTGGGCGGGAATTGTAAGATCCTGTCGCGAACTCCCGGACGAACCACTTTGCTCCTTACTCTTTCCGTAGCCAAGAAACTTTTCTGTTTTCATTTTTCCCTGGTTGCTTTGATACAGACCTGTGGGTTGTTTTTCCTCACGTCGATTAGAATGTCCGAATGGGGCAGGTTATTTGAAATGACGGGACTTGTAAGCACGCCTGGTTGAGGGTGTATTTGTGCAGTCGTGCGACTTCCTTGCCGTGCACTTTGGGGCAGGCGCGCACACGGGTCGCCCGTGGAAAACCCTGTTAAGATGGTTCGGTCTCCGCAGCATCAGTAACGCGCCGGAGCGCCTCCCGACGGGCACTGCACAGACTTTTTTTTCTTTCCCAGAAGAGGGAAAAAAGGAAGATGAATTTAGTTTGCCCTAAAACCCATTTTCTTCATCTTTAGGGGTGGCAAGTGAAGGGAGATTTTCTTTATTATCTTTTTTCTTAAGAACCTAAAAAAAAGTAGTTCAGCAGGAAGTGCAGATGTAGAATTGATCTTGCTTTGTCTGTAACTGGTGCCCCGGAAGGGCATCTCTCTGGGGCTGCGTGTGCTGGTGGGAGCCGGTGGCGCGGGGCCTGCGTGTGTGAGCGGCAACCCTGGGACTTGCCCTTTGCTTCTTTTCTTTGACTTGAATTTCCTCATTTTTTAGGATGACTGGGGTTGTGTTAGGTTCTAGCCTTTGAAGGCTGGGTCTGGTTTGAGGTTGGTAGGAAAGTGATTTGCCTAGTACTTCTCATATAGTCATTTTGAAATCATCCTTAAAAGGTGGGGAAGGTTTGTGTGACTAAGAATCTCACTGATTTGTTTCTCTTAATTTATACATTTGTCTAAATGTTTATGCGTTTTTCTTTTTTTAAGATTTTATTTATTTGACAGAGAGAGATCACAAGTGGGCAGAGAGGCGGGCAGAGAGGAAGCGGGAAGCAGGCTCCACGCTGAGCAGAGAGCCTGATGCGGGGCTCGATCCCAGGACCCTGAGATCATGACCTGAGCCGAAGGCAGAGGCTTTAACCCACTGAGCCACCCAGGCGCCCTTTATTTCTGAGTGGAAATGTCTTCGTTTTACTTTGGTTTTACACGATATGCGTGCTAGATACAGAACTCTAGGCCGAGAGCCTGGAGAAATGTTCCGTTTTCTGGCTTCCATCGCTCCAACGAGAGGTTACTGGTCATTTTTGTCTTTGCTCTCCCGTATCTAATGTGTCTGCTTCCTCCTCTAAGTCTGCTTAAATGATTTTCTCTTTGCTGTTGCCGTTTTAGCAGCTGGGTTTTGAGGTCCCTCATGGCGCTCTGGGGGTCCAGTGAGGTGTGCGTTAGGCTGCTTCCCGCTCCTGGCGGTCGGTGAGTCTGTGCCTCTCGCAGCCTTTTTCTTTCTGGCTTCATTTTGGGTCGTGGTTCTTGCCCTTCCCAGTGGATGTGCCATGAACTTGCGCAGTTTTGTTTCACAATGTTTTTCACCGAGAGGGTGTTTGGTTTTGATGACGTTTCCCATGTCTGTTTGTTCAGTTTGTTTTTCCTTTAAATCCTTGGGCGTATATGTAACTGCTCTGCGTCCTCGGTACTCATTCTCTCGTCTCGCTTCTGGGCCTCTTTCTGCTCTGACTTTTCTTCTAACGGTTCCGTTTTCCTCCTAGGAATGTGTGGTCAGCGGCTGGTCGGACGCCAGAGGGTGCCCCTGGCGCGCGGCAGCAGCTGGGTAGCTGGGCGCACGCTACCCTCTGGCTGTCTGGGTTTTGTCCTCCCGTCAGTGAAGGACGAGGTCGGTCCTGGCCTGCGGTTCTGTCACCCGCAGATCGCCGTGATCTTTTGAGGCTTTCCCTCTGGCTGGCCTAGCTCCAGGCTGTGGCCTCTCCGGGGTCTCCACTGAATGCCCTGGTGTTCAGTGACACGTTTCGCTCTGTCTGGTTGGAACTTGCTGGCCCCGAGCCCCTGGTAAGCTCAGGCTGTTTGCAGGCGTTCAGCTTTGCGGCTGTTTGCCGGGCTGCCCGCGGTCCGGCCCTGCAGCTGTGCTGCTTGGGTTGGAAGGCCCCAGTGGCGTCCCCGTGTGGATTCGCAGCGTGCTCTCTCCCCAGCTCCCTGCCCCGCAGACCAGCAGCCCTCAGCATCCCTGAACTCTGACCTTTGTCTCCTCGGCTCAGGAAGACCACCTGTCCTGGTGGGCTGCTTTCCCTGCAGCGGGGGCAGAAAGCGCCCCCAGAGTCGACGTGCTCGTCCTGCCCGATCCGCAGACTCTTGGGGGCACGGCCTGCCCCTCCTGTCGCCTGGTTACAGCTGCTCCGTGGATGGTCCAGTGCTCCCCTTGCGGATGGCGTGGGGGAAGTGGGACTGCCCCGCTGCGCAGTGGTCCGTCGGGTTAGAAGGGCGGGTTTAACACCTGGTGGTTAGAGCCGTAGCCTGCTCTTGGCTGTGTGCAGCTCTCCTCCTGGTGCCCACAGTCTTTGAGGAGCGGCTTAAACGCGACTCTGAGGTCACGGACCGTGAGCCTGCCTCTGTGCAGCCTCCAGGGTTCCCACTGGGCTGGGCCTGCCGTGGCGGGTGCGTGGGGACACGGCGTGAAAGACTGAGCCCTACTTGCCCGGATTTGACTTCTTTTTTTTTCCAAAATGACAGAAAAAAGTGAGGCGCCTGGCTGGCTCAGTCGGTTAAGTGTCTGACTCTTGGTTTTGGCACAGGTCATGATCCTTGGGGTTGTGGGATCGAGCCCCTCATTGGGCTCTGCTTGGGATTTTTTCCCTCTGCCCCATGTGCACAGACGCTTTCTCAAGCAGATGATTTATTTATCAACATACCGTGTATTACCTGTTTCAGGGGTACCGGGCTGTGATTCACCGGTCTGACACAGCCCACGGCGCTCCCGATAGCACACACGCTCCCCAGAGTCCCTCCCCCATCCCTCCCACCCCTCCTCTCCAGCAGCCCTCAGTTTGGGAGACCAACCAAGAGTGTCTCATGGTTGGTCTCCCTCTCCAGTCTCCTCTTGTCTCATTTTCCCTCCCTTCCCCTGTGACCCTCTGTCTCTTTCTCAGACTCCTCATATCGGTGTCAAATAGATCTTTTAAAAAGTAGATTAAAAAAACTTACTATATAAGTAATAAAGATACGTTATGGAAAAATGAAAAGAATTAAAAAGCTGAGTAAGTCCATTGTCCATTTTTGCATCTCTTGTCTAAACACCTGACTTGGGGACAGCTGGTGGCTCAGTTGGTGAAGCGTCTGCCTTGAGCTCCGGTCATGATCCCGGGTCCTGAAATCGAGTCCTGCGTCGGGCTCCCTGCTCCGTGGGGAGTCAGCCTCTCCACCTCCCGGCTTGTGCTCACACCACGTGTGCGCACGTGCGCGCGCTCTCTTTCTCTCAAATAAAATCTTTTAAAAAACAGACCCACGTTCCTGCACATCTGTACTTCCTGCTAGCTGGCCCCGCCGTCGGCCCCGCGGGGTGTGCACGGTCTGTAATGTGGTAGCTCGAGGCGCTGTTGTAATGTGCAGCCTCACGGGCCCGTTAACCCCACTAACTCCGAAAATTGTCAGATTTGGGCCTCAGCGGATCAGGACGTCTGCTCTAATGATTGGAAACGGTCAGTGTCTTCCCCGCACATGCACTGGTGTTTCAGAGTGTGAGGAAGTGGGCTTGTCTCTTCACACGGTGGTCCTCTGTGTGGAGACGGGTGCCGTGTCGCCCTAACTGCGTCAGCAGGACTCCCCAGTTAGTGCAGGGCCACAGTGGCTCGGTGACAGGGCCACGGCTCTGCTGCATCCTGAAGTGGCTCAGGGCGCTGCCGCAGGAGCTCTGGGGTGCTCCGCGGGTGCCCGGGGACAGACCCTGCTGGGAGCCACTGCCCGACCCGGCCAGTGAGCGCTTTCTTTCCGGACCTAGTCCCCCCTTGCCGCATGGCCTGCCACGGTGGCCCCTGCCTCGGAGCTCCCGGGCCAGAGGGCCCCCTTGGTGTGACGGATGCTCCTGTGGTGTCGACTTCGTGGCGGAGTACCCGTGGTTGGTGATGGCAGGAGACTGGCCCGGCCTCCGCTCTGCCACAGCCCAGGTTTGCAGGGTGTGTGCACAGCCTGCTTCTGTGAAGTCGTCCCCTCGGCCACACTGTTTGTAGACCGGCGCACCGCACCCTGCAGTCCGCCGGGTCGCCACGGTCCTTGGGACCGCGCAGCCTCTCCGGTGGAGTGTCATCGGACTAGAGCTCAGGGGGGCAGGACTCCCCGTCACTGGGCGGCCACGGGGGTGGCTGTTGCGGGTTCAGGTGGTCGTGGTCGATGGCACGTGGCCTGCAGCAAACTCCCGGAGAGGCCAGGCGTTCTGAGGTGGGGCGCGGCTGTGGGGGCAGGGTGTCCCCAGGGCGAGAAGGGGGCGCGGGTTCTGGGCCTCTGGGCTCCGGCTTCCGGTGTCACTCGCGGCGCGTGTCCGTCTGCACCGAAGCGTGTGTTCAGGACGCGGTCTGCTCCCTCGCCGCACAGCCAGCCCAGAGCTCGAGAGCCCTGGACCACGTCGTCCAGAGACTGCCTTTAACCCTCCGAACTGGAGTGCGTTTGCGTCTGTGCGGGTCGTTTTCCGGGGGCGGCGTTCGCTCTTAGTTTAGCTCCCTGGAGCACATGCCCTTCCACGGTCGAGTCCCTTTTCTGGAAAACCTGAAGGCATGGACTTGCTTTGGCACGGGATTTCTAATTACATGATTTGACTGGCTTTTTCCGCTCTTGTGGGGGGCCCAGGGCGGTGGTCCCGGTCTGCCGTGGCCGAGCGTGTGCTTTCCTGCTGCTATTTCGGGCTGCTGGGTATTCCTCGTTGTCGTTGAGGTGGTGACCTCGGGCATGTGTGAGTGACCTGAGCCCTGGAGTTCGCGTCCTCACTCTGCTCTCCCCTCAGCTGGGCACGTGGGTGTATGAGATGTGCCCGGGGACCACTGCTCTGAGAGCTCGGATACTCTGCTAAGCCCAACCACGCTTTTTTTTTTTTTTTTTAAAGATTTTATTTATTTATTTGAGAGAAAGCAGGTGGGGGAGAGAAGGAGCAGAAGCGGGGAGAGGGAGAAGCAGGGACCCCGGTGCGGGGCTCCATCCCAGGACCCCGGGACCTCGACTCTAGCCACAGGCAGACGCTTCCCCGATGGAGCCGCCCAGACGCCCCAGCCCAGTGACAGTTTGAAATACGCCCTCGTCAGTCTTCAGGCGTCGTGTCACACTTGCTCCCCTCGCTCCGTCCTCTCCCGGGCCCTCGGCTGTGCGGCTGCCGAGCCTCTGGGATGTGCGGCCCCAAGGGCACCGTTGTCCCCGCTTTCGCTTGCCTTTGCTGTTGTGTGTCTGTCCCTTAGAGGTACGTGTCGGTAAGCGGTGGGCGTCCCGCACGGGTTCAGTTTGTCGGTGGGGTCGTAGATGCTCGTGCCACACGGCTGGGGAAGGGGTTAACGTGCGCGGCCCAGCAGCCTTGGCATCCGTATTTAAGAAGGAGAAGGTACTCTGTCCGCTCGTGGTAGAGCCCTTGCGAGCGTCTGGCGCCGCTGGGTCCGCTTGAACGGGGCCTGGGCTTGCCTGCGTCCGTTTTGCCTCCTAGGAATTCCGGGACGGGCGGTGGGTGTGGGACTGCGGAGGATCTGCCGAATGCGGGATTTTTGAGGCTTCCTCCCCTCAGACCGGGGAAGATGATCGCTGAGCACGGGTGCTGGCTGTGGCCACCGGGTGTGGTGCTCTGGGGCGTCCTGGGGACGCGGACCCAGCTGAGAGCTGCATGGCGGCCCTGACCTCTCTCTCTCTCTTCTGCCAGGCGGTGGTGCTTCCTCAGGGCGGAGGACAGCTGTGGGCATTTGGAGGGGAGTTTGCTTCTCCCGACGGAGAGCGGTTCTACCACTACAAGGATCTCTGGGTGCTGCACTTAGCCACCAAGACCTGGGAGCAAGTGAGGTGAGGTGCTGGGTGGTGAGCTCGACCTCTGGGCCTGGCTCCGGCCCTGCGCCGGCATCCTGCGCTCACGGTGATGCGGCTCTAGCTCTAGGAATTCCGGGGTTCCGAGGAGCATGACTGCAGAGCCGCGAGCGGCCGGTCTCGCTGGTGCCTGAAGGCAGGCAAGAGCTCGCCTTTTTCTCTAGACCCTTCTTGGAGAAGCCCGGCCCGGTGATAGCTCCCTGACCGCCTGACTTTGTTGAAGGCGTCGCTGGGCTCGCTGGGACAGCACGGTGTCCCTGCTTGCCCTCCTGTCTGCCCTCCGCGGCACCTACGGGCAGCGTCTGGTATGCAGTCCCCCTCCCGAGACATGTGTGGATCCCCTTGGAGGCAGCGCTGGGTGTCCGCTTGCTGGCAGTGGACCATGGTCGTCACTACAAGGGACTGGTCTTCTTCGGTGTGGTGGACCTAGACGTTGTGGAGCTGGGATGAGGGGAGGAAGGACGGGGAGAGAGCGTCCTTGCTGCTCTGCAGCAAACCAGGCTCCACGGTCGTTGGTGTTGGATTTCTGCCCCGTCGGGGACATTGACGATGGGTTTGTCGCATCTGGACCTCACGTTCACTGCCGTTCAGAGCTGCACGTCGGCAGAACGACCGCGGGACGACAGATGGGAAGTAGGGTGCGTTGGCTTTATTCTTCGGTGTCGGGGGTCATGTGCCCTGTGGCTGGGGCCACGCACAGCACAATCTCCGGGCCCTGGCTTTGCTGTCGTAGCCTCAGGCCAGAGCTTCCTTGTGCGCCGGAGCAGGCGGCTGGATCGCAGAGTTCAGTCACTGGGCAGCACCCTTTTCGGGGCCTGGGACTTGGATGGGAAGGGAGCCCCGCTCCCCAGAGGCTGTGGCGGGTGGTGTGAGGAGGCTGCTGACGGGCTGTGCAGGCCGGCTCTGACCGGCTCTGGGCCTGGGCTGGTAGCTCGGTGGAGGCTGCTGTGTGCGAGGAGGGCGCGTGTGGCCCCGGCTCAGCGAAGCCGCCACGGGGTTCGAGTTCATTGTACCGAAGTGGGGACTGGGGAGCCTTGTGAGCGCGGCCGAGGACTGGTGTCCTTTCTGGTCCCCTCGCTCGCTCTGGGAGATGTTCATCGCCTCGGCGGGCGCGGGGTTCAGTCACGTTCGTATCAAAAGTGGTTTTGTCGGGTACATGTGGAAACTGGTCATTTGTCCACCGTTTAAAGCGTCTTCGGGCCCAGGGCGCCCGCCCGTGTTCCTGGTGCCGGCGCGGTTGTTAACTAACTGCTCGTCTGTCCGTCTTTGGGGATCGATTCACCATATTTTCTTCACTCTTTATCAGTTTGAGTAGCTTTTTGTCCATAATTCTTGGGTGGGTGAGGGGCAGTGCTCAGCTCCACGGGAGAATATGGCCCCCTTGGCGGGCTCCGCGGGGCCGGGACTGGTGGCGGGGCCGGGGCCGTCCTCAGCTGCTTTGCTGGGCGCGCGTTTTCTCGTGGCCTTCAGCCCTGCCTGCTGCTGCGGCGTGTACTCTGGGTGTGGGACACGGAAGCCGGGGCCACTAGGGACACATGACCACTCGGGGATGTGCCCTTTGAGGGGCTCACTGTGGCCACTGTCTCCCAGCCAGCCCGGGACAGCCACCCTCGCCTCCGCGTGACCCGGGCTGTCTGTCCCAGCACGTGGGCGTGGCGTTGGCGGCTTCTGTCCTGGGTCGGAAGTCGTCTCCGTGAAACAGGTGCCCGCGGTTTGGAGGCTTTCTGCGATCGTGGTGCCAGAGTTTATGGAAAGCGCGTCGTGGAGTGCTTAGAGGCTGACAGAGAACTGCGCGGCACCTTCCGCTGGCGTTCTTAACCCGTGCTCGTCCGGGGGAGCGGCGGGCCTGGGACAGGCCGGGCGGCTCTGTTTTGCTTCGTGCCTCAGTTTGTCCAGCCTTCCTCCCGGTAAGGGCCCCGGGTCTGGTGGGTGAGCGTCGCGCAAGCGGTCCGACAGGCCACGTGGGAGTGTGCCCCTGACTAGGAGGTCTGGCCTGCGAGGCAGGAGAGGGAGGCTTCTGTCCCCAGCCCTGCTTCCGATTCTGGGTGCCACGAGCTTCTGAACGAGTGGCTGGATTTCTGTGTTTTGCTGCTTCAGCATTTTTCGTTGAGCTGTTTTCTGTCGAGTGGCTGATGAGAAGCAGAAAGTCCTAAGTGATGCTCAGGAGGCGGTATGTGATGACCGTTGCCCACGTCCGTGTCCTTGTCGGCTCCCATGCCGTATCATCTTGGGCACTGAGCTCTGCCTTCCTATAACGCTGGGTGCTCTGACGGCCCGCAGGCTGCAGCCCTGCCCCGCCCCGCCTGCCCCAGAGGTGGTTCTGAGACGAGGAGGGAAGTGCTCCCTGTGCCGCCCCCTCTCCTGCCCTCCCGGCTTCCCACAGCCCTCCGGGGGGCGGGGAACGCACAGATCTGCAGAAGGGTTTCCCACTGCTCCAGAAGCCACGAGAGCTGACTCACGTGACCATGGGACCCGTTGCTTTTGCAGGGGAGATGGTGCCACGAGGACACAGAGGGCGGGGACCGGCAGGGAGAGGGGGCACGAGCGCGTATTCCCACAGAGACCGTAGAGGAGCGAGCCCCAGAGCCCCACGCGGCCCGGGGGAGGCTGCGCAGGGGTGAAGGCAGGCGCCGCTCGGGGGTGGGGAGGCGGACGAGCAGGACGACCCCCCCAGCCAGGATGTCGATGCATCTGTCAGCCCCGTGCGGCTTTACATGGGCCTCTGCCCCAAGTGCATTTCTAGGAACGTACTCTAAGGAAATACTCGCTCTCGTTTTATACAGAGAAACGTACCAAAAAACCACGCGGCGGAGCAATCCGTGCCTGAGAACAAAGCCCGAGTGTGTACACACGCGTGTGCCCACCAGGAGAGCCGTGCCTGCGCCGGCCGGGTCTGTGCCTGTCCGGGATCACTCCCTGTCTTTGTCCCTGCAGCCGTCCAGTGTGTTCCGAGAGCCGGAGGGTTTTGCTCATTTCCTGAAAACCTTGCTTTGCTGTGTGTTTTTTCATACGAATTCCAGAATCAGCTTTCAGGTGGTATTTTAAAAATCCCAGCAGGATTTTGATGGGGCTTCTTTTGCTTGTACCCTGCACATCGGGGAGCGGACGTCTTTCCGGTGCGGCCTTCCCACCCGCAGCGCCGCACTTCTCTCCAGTTAGCTATGCCTCGCCCGCCCGTAGAATTTGCAGCCACCTCGAAGGAGCACTGTGGAGTCAGAGGCCGGCCGTGCCTCCGGGGTTCTCCCCTCGCGTCTGTTCCTGCAGACACTTGAGCCACGCCCTCTCCTTGCTGGGAGGACGCCTGTCCCTGGCGCTGAGCTGGTGCTCCGTGTTCTTGTTTGGTGGTCTCTGGACCCTTCCTTCTCTGTGGAGCAGCTCCTCAATGGCGGGCGGCGGCCCTGTAAGTCGTTTCCTGTCCTCACTTGGACTTGGGAAGGGTTCCCCAGAGAATGGTCGTGGTGTCCCAGCGAGACTCGGTGGTGTCGTGGCTGAGAGACCTGTGGCCCAGAGCTGAGGTCACACCTCTGTTCGTGCTTCTCGGGCTCTCACCACCCTGCCCGCCTCTGGTTCAGAGCACGTTTCAAATGGGGTTCGGGAATCAGCCCTTCACTTAAGCCCTCCCCGCCCCACTCAGTGATCCTGACCGAGGTGGGCCTCAGCCACAGTTGGGGCCACTGGCCTTGGTGACCGGTGGGTTTAGTGCTTATTTAGGGCCCTGCTCGCGGACGTGAACATAGAGCACGTCAGCTGCCGTTTCCGAAGTAAGAAAACTCGGGTAAAATTTCTTAGCTTTTTTTTTTTAAGATTTTATTTACTTATTTGAGATATAGAGGGAGCACGAGCAGGTGAAGGGGCAGAGAGAGGGAGAAGCAGGCTTCCCTCTGAGCAAGGAGCCAGATGTGGGACTTGAGCTCACAACCCTGGCTGGGATCGTGACCTGAGCCGAAGGCAGACGCCCAACTGACTGACCACCCAGGCGCCCAGTTCCTTAGCTCCTTAGGCAGTAAAATAGACCAGCTAGTGCTTCTGTCATGTACTGCTTACGGCAGACCGCGAGCACCCCACGGCCTGTTTGCTGGCCTCCCGGCTGGGCTGCACACACCTGCCGTGGCCGCCAAGGAGAGCCTGTCTGCTGAGTCCCCAGGGGCCGAGGCGCTGCTCCTGGGCATGGGACTGGGCTGTTCCCACCCGAGCACAGTGGCTGCTGTGGAGCGGGGACCCCTGGTGGCCGTGTGGCCTCCGTAATCTCGTCTTCTCATCTCAGAGAAAGGTGGGGAGATTCATTCAAAATGCGGACTGAGTTCCCCTTTCCCGGGAAGGCCTCTGAGGCCAGGAGAGCCCACATCGCTCGGGAGACACAGGCAGAGCCCGCGGCGAGCTCGAGCGAGCTTTCTGCCCAGGATTCGGCCCGGCGCTCGGTTCGTTTCTCACTCCCGTGGGGGTACCTTTCTGGTTGAGACTTCCAGAGAAGGGTCAAGGCCAGCTTCGGCTCTATTAAATCGGCACGTAGCCTGTATTGAACCCCTTTCCTGGCTTTCAAGCAGGTTTTCCCTTTGGGAGGGCAGGGCGGATTCCCCCTCGCTGGCCGACTTCTGACTGATCTGACAGCGGGTGTGCCGGCCCATCCTCGCGTGCAGGGGCTGGTCTGGAGAACGGCCCTTTGGGGAAGCGAGTTCAGCTTGCCGGGGAGAAGAGTCGGGGCCTGCAGAGGGTCAGGGAAGAGCCGCTGTGCCGAGGTCTGCGGTCAGGTCCCTGAGAGGGGCGCCTGCATGTTTCCTTGTCTCACGGCCATGCTGTGCACTGGACGCCCCGGCCCGGAGTCCCATCCCACCACACGCCTGGTTCTGCCAGCAGAGGCTGCGGGGCCTGAGCCGGTGCAGCCAGGGCCCCGAGTGCTGTCCGTACCCGTGGCGGGGGGGCGCTGCTGGGGACCGCCTCTGCAGCCACCTCTGCTAGAGGACGGCCTCGCCGCGTGCTGC